CTGAGGGAAGCACTGCATGTTCAGGGCTTAGTACATTGGCTGCAAAAGTGGTGTTTGGGGTGTTCCTTTAAGAATGTAATAAGCCACTGACTGAAGCAGAATTCAATAAAATGCAAGGTGTAGTGGTTATGGTGCTAGAGTGTTCCTATGAGAATATAATAAGCCACTTATTGAAATAGAATTCAATAAAATGCAAGTCACTGACTGTAGCAGATTTCGGTTGATCAGGAGGTAGGGGGATGACTCAGCAAATCACAATGCAAAACAGATAAAGGATTCCTGGTAGAAAGGTTGTTTTTCAACCCATGTTTAATTTTCAGAAAACTGATCTTGAGAAAGTTAGATTTCTCTAGTTTCTTGAGTTTACACTCGCATTCTGAACCCTCACCTGCATATAAGGATCCTCAACAGATGGATAGAAGAAGTCTGTGGTTTGAACAAGGGAGAGCCCTCTGTGTCTGAGAGGTATAACACAAGAATCCATCCCTATACCTGTAAAGAGACATAGGACAAGTTTCAGGAACTGTGAACTGCCTACAGATGAGATTGACGTTTAGTATGAAAATATGGATCAGCTATCAGACAACAAACAGCTGCCTACATAGCATCCTAAGGCTAAAAGCCAAGCACTTTGATGACCCCTATGATCAATGATTATATTAGTAGTTATGATATTTTAGCTGAAAACCCATGCTGGTATGAGAAGTCTTAGGGAAGCAGATTGAGATTTAAGCCAAATATGTGATTGGTCCTCAGCTCAATGAAGAGGTCTGGGTGCCAGGTGCCCCAGCTTTTAACCATGTAGCGGTAAACATAGTTTCAGAGAAACTGCTATGTTTACTTTTCAGGGTTAATCCAGCCTCTAGTGGCTGTCTTCCTGACAGCTGCTAGAGGTGCTTCTGCGATGATGAATGCAAAAGTCGCCGCGCATGCGCACTCGGGAGCTGACATTGGAGGGGGAGGAGAGGTCACCAGTGCCAAGGATGCCCGGCACTGGATAAAGGTAAGTGGCTGAAGGGGTTTTAACCCCTTCAGCCCAGTGGGAGGTGGGCCCTGAGGGTGAGAAACTGCTATGTTTACATAGCAGGGTTAATCCAGCCTCTAGTGGCTTTCTTCCTGACAGCCGCTAGAGGCGCTTCTGTGACGCTGGACGTGAAATTCGCATCCAGCGTAAGGAACGTCCATAGGAAAGCATTGAAAAATGCTTTCCTATGGACTGTTAGAATGCACACACGGCTCTTGCAGCGCATGCACATTCCGCTCCACTTGGGAGCTGACGTGTTCCAAAGTCTATCATTACTGGAGGGCCCCTTAAAGGAGCACTGATAACCACAACAACCCACTGAAATATCTGCATATTATTGTTATAAAAGTCAGACGTATGCATTTGTAATATTAACTTTGATCTTATTTGGGTAGCATGCATTACTAGACCATATCTACAGACACACTCTGCCAATTAATGCTGCCCAAATTTGATATTTCAAACTAACATGTGTAACTCCCACAGAAGTAATATGCTCAGTGAGGGGTGGCCCCTTGTGTCAGTGTCCTCAAAGTGGCTGTAGTTTTTGTAGTACTTTGACTATCACTTTAAGTCCCACAGGCACTTATCAATTACACTCCTGCCAACCAGTACATGATTAATTGATGACAATCCAATGACATGAATAAATAATTTGATTATTTTTTTAATAAACTGAGATCAGAGAAAGGCAACCTTCAGCACTCCAGATGTTGTGGACTACATCTCCCCTGAAGCTTTACCAGCATTACAGTTAAAGAGAATAACAGCACACAACAACTGGAGTGCTAAACATTGACTACCACGACCTACAGAGCGTTGTAGTGTTCCTTTAAGTAGTTTAATCGCGCAAAATTTCTGTTAGCAGTAGTGGAGCAGGTGGTGTGGAATTTCTGGAGTGAATTTCCAATTTCAGGCCAAAATAACCAACATGGAAAAAAAGTTCTCCAAAGATTTGCAGTTTAGCTTTGAATTCCCCAAAACATCACACTTTAGTGGATAACCCAGTCTGACTATAACACTGTCATCAACATTTTGCCATATGGTTTTTAACTTGCTGTAACTCGCAGTTTAGTGAATACCCATCTAACCATAATACAAACACTGTAAACATTTTTCCATACGGTTTCCGGTTCGCAGTTTATTATTATTGCCACTGTCAACAGATTCCGTAACGCTTTACAATATTATGAGAGGGGGATTTAACTATAAATAGGGCAATTACAAGAAAACTTACAGGAACGATGGGTTGGCCCTGCTCAAACAAGCTTACATTCTATAGGACTGTCTATAGTTTATATAGTCTACAGTTTAGTGAATATCCCTGTAGGGTGTAGGTGATCCCTTCCTCAGTCCATGTTGGGGTTCAGATTGTGACCTGTAACAAGGGTTAGTTATACACCCCCCCCCAGTCCATGTTGGGGCTCAGATTGTATGTGACCTGTAACAAGGGTTAGTTATACACCCCCCAAGTCCATGTGGGGCTCAGATTGTATGTGACCTGTAACAAGGGCTGGTTATACACCCAAGTCCATGTGAGGGGCTCAGATTGTATGTGACCTGTAACAAGGGGTTAGTTATACACCTCCCAGTCCATGTGGAGGCTCAGATTGTATGTGACCTGTAACAAGGGTTAGTTATACACTCCCCCAGTCCATGTGGGGCTCAGATTGTATGTGACCTGTAACAAGGGTTAGGTTATACACCCCAGTCCATGTGGGGGCTCAGATTATGTGACCTGTAACATAAGGGTTAGTTATACACCTTCATGTGGGGCTCAGATTCTTAATGTGACCTAGCAACACCCCCCCCACCCCAGTCCATGTGGGGGCTCAGATTGTATGACCTGTAACAAGGGCAGTTATACACCCCCAGTCCATGTGGGGGCTCAGATTGTATGTGACCTGTAACAAGGGTTAGTTATACACCCCCCAGTCCATGTGGAGGCTCAGATTGTATGTGACCTGTAACAAGGGTTGTTATACACCCCAGTCCATGTGGGGGCTCAGATTGATTATACACCCCAGTATGTGTTAGTTATACACCCCTCCCCACCCCAGTCCATGTGGGGGCTCAGATTATATGTGACCTGTAACAAGGGTTAGTTATACACCCCCCCCCACCCCCAGTCCATGTAGGGGGCTCAGATTGTATGTGACCTGTAACAAGGGTTGAGTTATACACCCCCCTCCCCACCCCCCAGTCCATGTGGGGCTCAGATTGGCTCAGACCTTAACAAGCAACTTAGTTATACACCCCCCCCCCCACCCCCAGTCCATGTGGGGGCTCAGATTGTATGTGACCTGTAACAAGGGGTTGCTTATACCCCTCCCCACCCCCAGTCCATGTGGGGCTCAGATTGTATGTGACCTGTAACAGCAGGGTTAGTTATACCCCAGTCCATGTGGGGCTCCAGATTGTATGTGACCTGTAACAAGGGTTAAGTTATACCCCCCCAGTCCATGTGGGGGCTCAGATTGTATGTGACCTGTAAGGGTTAGTTATACAGTCCATGTGGGGCTCAGATATGTGACCTGTAACAAGGGTTAGTTATACACACCCCAGTCCATGTAGGCTACACCCCCAGTCCATGTGGGGCTCAGGATTGTATGTGACCTGTAACAAGGGTTAGTTATACACCCCAGTCATGTGGGGGCTCAGATTGTATGTGACCTGTAACAAGGGTTAGTTATACACCTCCCCCAGTCCATGTGGGGCTCAGATTGTATGTGACCTGTAACAAGGAGGGTTAGTTATACACCCCAGTCCATGTGGGGCTCAGATTATATGTGACCTGTAACAAGGGTTAGTTATACAGTCCATGTCCATGGGCTCAGATTGTATGTGACCTGTAACAAGGGTTAGTTATACCCCCAGTCCATGTGGGGCTCAGATTGTATGTGACCTGTAACAAGGGTTAGTTATACCCCCCAGTCCATGTGGGGCTCAGATTGTATGTGACCTGTAACAAGGGTTAGTTATACCCCCAGTCCATGTGGGGCTCAGATTGTATGTGACCTGTAACAAGGGTTAGTTATACAAGTCATGTGGGGCTCAGATTGTATGTGACCTGTAACAAGGGTTAGTTATACACCCCCAGTCCATGTGGGGGCTCAGATATGTGACCTGTAACAAGGGGTTAGTTATACCCCAGTCCATGTGGGGCTCAGATTGTATGTGACCTGTAACAAGGGTTAGTTATACACCCCAGTCCATGTGGGGGCTCAGATTATAAGTGACCTGTAACAAGGGGTTAGTTATACCCCAGTCAGATTGTAAGGTGACCCATGTTATATTTCCAGGGGGGCCTGATTGTATGTGACCTGTAACAAGGGTTAGTTATACACTATGTCTCAGATTGTGGTGTGACCCAACAGGGGCCCCAGTCCATGGGGCCTTGTGATTGTATGTGACCTGTAACAAGGCCCCCAGTCCATGTGGGGGCTCAGAGGTGCGAGATGGTATGTGACCTGTAACAAGGGTTAGCTGGGGGGGCTGGCTGAGTGTGATGAGCCGGTCAGAGCCGGGGGGGGGGGAGCCCGGGTGATGGCTGAGTGTGATGGGAGTATCTGATCCCCAGGGCCGCGGTGTATTGGATTCCAAGGCCCGCACTCACCCAGCCGGGGGTTGGTCCCCTCCTGCCCCGGACACGCCGGGTCCCCGCTGCCTCCCTCCCCGGGCGGCTCTCCCTCCTCCAGTCCCGTCAGGAGCCTGAGCAGCGTCTCCCGCGGGACCTTGCAGCCTCAGCCCTTCATGTCCGAGAAGGAGGTCAGGCGGAAGCCGGGGTCCAGGCCCAGTGACTCGGGCTCGAACGGCCGGTAGCCGGGGAAGTAAGGCGCCATCGCCGCGGGGAGAGTTCCAGCCGCCATGACAGCTCCTCTGTCAAGCGACACTTCCGAGGGCAAACTCCAGCATCGCCCCGCCCCGCCCCGCGCACAGCTCGCGACAGGACGCGACGCTGCCCTCAGCCGGCGTCATGACGCAGCTCTGCCCTGACTGTGCGCGCTGCGTCATCCGCCAGCACCGTCCAGTCACGTGGGGGCAGACCGCCTGTTGCTATAGAGATTTTACCAGTTCAGCTATGAAGGAGCTGGCTGCTATTGGCTGTGGCCCTGTGGGGGTCTTGGACCTGGTGGTCCCAGGGACTGTGCAGGAAGACCTTTAAAATGCAGACTGCTGTGAACTTTCTCCCCCAGGGCTCCTCTCTGGCCTCCCCTGTCCATGCAGCAGCAGTGACAGGAGACAAGGCGACATTACTGCGCCTCATAGGCTCCAATTCAGGCCTGATAGACCAGGAGGACCAGTTAGGGAGGACGCCGTTGATGTACAGTGTGTTGGGGGACCGCAAAGCGTGCGCAGAGGCTCTGTTGCGGCACGGCGCCCAGGTCAATCGTTGTGACAGGAGTGGCCGCACGGCGCTACATTTAGCCGCCCAAGCCGGCAACCATCGCCTGCTGAAACTTCTCCTGGCCCGTAAGGCAGACTGCACCCATCGTGACCTGCGTGACATCACCGCCCTGCATCTCTCCACGCGTCACCAAGATACTCGCTGCCTGGCTCTACTCCTCAAAAACACACCGCCGGGTCAGGTGGATGCTCAGGATCAGCGCAAGCAAACAGCACTTCATTGGAGTGCATATTACAACAGGCCGCGCCATGTCAGACTGTTGGTGCGGCATGGGTCCAACATTGGTATCCCTGATCAGGAAGGGAAAATACCCCTACACTGGGCTGCAGGTCACAAAGATCCAGAGGCAGCATGGACAGTGCGTTGTTTGCTAGAAGCAGCTCCTACTGAATCCCTCCTCAATTGGCAGGATTACGAAGGACGCACCCCGCTGCATCTTGCTGTTGGTGATGGTAACCAAGAAGTAGTGCGGCTTTTGATGTCATACCGCGGTTGCAATGGGGCCCCATATGACAACCTGTTCCGTACTCCATTACACTGGGCTGCACTGTTGGGTCACACTTCTATTGCACAACAGCTTCTTCAAAGAAATCATTCCCCCAATATACTTTCAGATAGTCAAGGAGCTACTCCACTGCATTATGCAGCCCAAGGAAATTGCCCGGACACTGTACGAGTACTGCTGTCTCACTCGTCGGTGAGAGATGAAGCCGATTTGGAAGGAAGAACTGCATTTATGTGGGCAGCGGGAAAAGGCAGCGATGAAGCAATAAAAGCTATGCTTGAGTTAGACTCCAACTTAGAAGTCAACAGAACTGATAAATATGGTGGAACAGCACTCCATGCAGCTTCTCTCTCAGGACAAATAAGCACAGTACGGATTCTTTTAGAAAATGGTGCCCAAGTAGATGCATGTGACGTAATGAAGCATACACCATTGTTTAGAGCTTGCGAGATGGGGCACCGCGAAGTTATTCGTACACTCATTAAAGGAGGTGCTAAAGTGCAGTTGGTGGACAAAGATGGACGTTCTCCTCTCCACTCAGCTGCATTAGGGGGCAATGCCAACGTCTGTCAGATACTTATAGAAAACAACATTAATCCTAATGCACAAGATTATGAAGGCAGAACCCCCCTACACTGTTCAGCTTACGGAGGCTATATTGGTTGTATGGAAGTACTAATTGAGAACAAAGCAGATCCTAATATCCAAGATAAGAATGGACGAACTGCTTTGCATTGGTCCTGTAATAATGGTTACCTGGATGCTGTAAAACTTCTTCTTAAATATGATGCCTTTCCTAATCAAATGGAAAACACGGAAGAGAGATACACACCATTAGACTATGCTCTGCTTGGTGGTCACCAGGAGGTTATACAATTCATGCTGGAACATGGTGCGTTGTCTATTGCTGCTATCCAGGATATTGCAGCCTCCAAAATCCAAGCTGTATACAAAGGTCACAAAGTACGGAGAGCCTTCCGTGAGAGGAAGAACCTATTAATGAAACATGAGCAGTTGAGGAAAGGAGCTGCTGCAAAAAAGAGGGAGGGCGAAAACAAGAGGAAAACAAAAGTGTTGCTAATGGGACAGGAGAAGAAAGAAGACAGTCATATAGATGAATACTTTTTCAGTGTAAAGCAAGAACAATCCCAGGATCAGTGGACAGAAAAAAGACAGAGTGAACAACTTACGCAGGTGTCATATGAACCGAAGGAAGGAGAAAGTGAGCATCAGGCCCCAAACAGGACTGCTCAGCAGGTCCCTAGGAAAGAAACCTCACCAAGACACAAGGAACCTAATATGAGTCCAGAGGTAGCTAATTTAAGAAGTATTGCCCAAATTTCAGCATCTGCAAGTGAACATTCTGAGAAGCAATACAATGAAAATGGCCCTAACCAAAGTCCAAATGAAAATAAGAAGATTTCTAGACATACAAAAGAAATCTTAGATGTGATGCAAGGTTCAGGGGATTATGAACTTAATGAGACTGTTAAGAGATCTCACCGAGTCAAGAAGGGAACTTCAAGTGCTTTTAGTCCAAAGAGAGAGTGCAACCATCAAGATACTGAAAATCATGAACTTGACATCCAAGAATGTAATGCTTCAGATACTTCCATTTATGAAGGCAAAGCAAATATTCAAAAGGTAACAAAAAATACCAAAGGTCACAGTAATAAAAGAGGAACTGAAGACCTCATCCAAAAATTGGAAATCTGCAGCCTTTTGGACGTTGAACATAGGCATTCATCTAGGAGACTGAAACACGGGTCTGACAGTGTGATTGATAGAATGTTGGACCATAACAATTATCTGAAGGGTAGGGAGACAGTGGATAGTCAAAGCGGCCAACCTAGGAAACCAAGATCTTCCCAAAACAAACAGCGTCCTGTAACTGGGAAACCTGGCCAAAACAAGGAACGAAAGACAACGAGAAAAGCTCATTGGTGCGCATCTGCTGTGAGGTGCTCAGTACCCAATCAGAACAAACATGCTACTGCATGTAAAAAATATGAAGGGAATTCATCATCTTATGATGCAGGTTTCAAAAGAGCCCAAATTATTCCATTATCTAGAGAGAATACGCTTGGAGAAAACTGTACGATCAACTGGCAACATTTAGACATAGAATTCATTCCCTTACAGGCACGATTACTCCTGGTGGAGAGAGAAAAGGCCAGAAAACAGTTATTCCATCTCAAATACCATGCCGCAACAGTAATTCAGAGGGCCTGGAGAGCACACAGGAACCGAAGAAAATGTAACACAATACGGAAATCACGGTCTAATTTACATTGAAGGTATTTTCATAGAGACATATGTTTTTCTTATAATATATTCAGTCTGTTATCAGCAGGTATTGGGATGTGTGCCATTGCTGTCTTTTAAGAGGTAAATCACAATTAAGAACAAACATCTTTTTACTAGATGACCTGGATTTATTTTTTGTTGGATAAACAGTTACAGTGAGTGTCTTGAATGTTGTACATTTAGTAGATCACATTACTAAATATGCCCGGAAAAAACGACCTTTTGTAAGGTTTGCTAGAAATGAATATGGCTGCTGTTTGTAATGTACCTTTGCCAATATGTATTGGATTATTGCAACTAATTTAACTGTAAACTGTGCATTTTTTACAGTTAGTATAATTCTAAAGTGGCAAGAAAACTTTAGAAAAACGTATTTAATAAATAATTGAACAGATTTTTGTAAGCGGACATGTCATCCACAAATGTGTGAAAATATATGGATTTGTAATAGGAAATAACATTTGATCTGTGCATTAGAGGCTGGTTGACAAAAATCAAAGCATCCTATAGCAACAACCTCCTCCTCGGCCACATCAATAACACTGAAATAAAGTACACACCAAGCAAAACATGCTGTAGTGCTTATGGTGCCAGGAGCCCATCCACTTAAAAGTGGTCAAACTGTTTAAGAACAGTTTGACTTACACCTGGGGTTCACCAGGTGCGGCTTCATGCTTTCTCAAAAGCTGGAAGCCCCTGCTACAACCTGTCATTCGCTCTCCTGCGCTAAGCCCTGCAGTGCACGTACAGCTCATTAGCGGAGAGTGTAAGCTGATCTCTCTGAGCCAAGTTGGAGCGGATATAGCTTCAAGCTATCATGGAGGGGATCCCAGTTAAGAAGCCAATCCTTTCTAGAACAGTTTGACTTCATAAATAGGTTGGGGCCTGTCACCATAACCACTACAGGGTGCTGTAATGGTTGTGATGCTTGGTATGTTCCTTTAGCACACCAGCAATATCTTTTTCCCGTTTGTGGTTTTTTGGATGCACAAACCCATTTCAGCTGTGTTGAATATATCAAATCTACACCTGAACAAATTGATCCGTCCGGGATTTACCTGTGGAGTCTTATAATGGTCCACAAGTAAATCCCAGATGTATAGATTCGTTCGGGATTAGATAAAAAGAACCCGATGCATTCGTCACAGCTGAAATGGATTTGTGCACAAGTCTATAATTTAACTTGTTCTTTAATGGATTCCTGTCATGCACATGATGCTAGGATAGAGGAATAGGTTTAGTTTGAAATTTCCGCCCTGCCAGGGAAACTTGCAATATACCCAGTGTGGTTATGTGCAACGCACTTTATGGTGTTTATTCACAAAATACTAAACTCTACGGAATAAAAAAAAAATTACGAACACTTTTTTTTTTAACCAAATGTATTGGAAATATTGTCCAACTCTGGCTTACAACACTTTGACTTGCCATTTCAGTTACAAATGTTTTCAGGAATCCGCATACAAAAAAAAAAAAATATTTCATAAAATTATCTGATTCAACCACAGCGAAACTGCTGTTGTCTTAAGACTAATAAGTCACTTTGTAGTAAATACCGGTAGGTCGTCAATATCCCCACACCCTGTCTTGTAACACATATACTAAAATGTGACACAACCAAAAAAATAAATTACATGATGTCTTAAAATTGTAGTGTTTTATAAATGATTATATTTAAGAGATTTATAACAATTCAAGTGTTTTGTTACATTTACATATTTATGAGAATGTTTCCAATCCCCTTCCAGTAATCCACCTTCAGTACTTGTTTTGTAACCGGTACAGAGAATTTTTAATTTTTTACTTTAAAAAAAGGTTTGTTTTTTGTGGAGGGGGGATGGCCCCATAACACAAAATACTACTTATATTTTATACGACTTGCTGCCTTACACATATTTATATCTTATGCACACATTTATATGAATTGTGTTTACATGTATATAACATTGTATAGAATATACAGTAGAATTTTATGATTACATATGTATCCGTTCGTTCTTGGCAGGATGTCTTGTGCCATATTTTTTAAATAACTTAATATTACAAAAAAAATAAATGCACTTAATTTATTACAGAGTATTCATCTATGCACTATATATGTTCAGGAACATGGATATATTTTTCTATTAGAGGGGACATGCAATTAATCAATGATAACCCAGATCCTCTTTTTTTTTTTTTTTTTGGTGTGAAGAGTTGAAGTGTCAGCATAATTGAATATTCTGCTAAAAGAAATAAAATAATGAACACCGCTCATTGTCTCTTTTGTATTTTATTACTCTGAGTGTCAATCAGTGGCTCTGTACATTGAACGGAAACAAGTGCAGGATGAAGAGAAGAACCAAATTGTTTCAGTCTAGAAATCCAAGCTCTATGGTTTCTGGAAGCTGTGGGTGAAGGATGCGTGTAGCCAGCCTTTCTATGTCATCTAGACTGAGCAGGGATAAACTGCGCTCATAGTCCTGTATGGGAGAGAGAAACAGAGATTTGATATGTGTGAGAGACAGGCAGGGTTATTAACAAAACTCTAAACAGTATTGCATTTAAATCTGAATGGCAATATTCAGAGCAGAATTAAACATAAAGGGACCCTAGGCACTCGCCTAAGGCCCAGGAGTTAAACAGGGACCCTGGAACAATGAATTTGATTAGTGCCATTAACCATTACTATATGAAGAAAGAAGGGGAAGAGCCCAAACTGGTAACTTGTCCAGGACTCTGTGGAATCTTAAAGGAACACTATAGGATCAGGAACACAAATGTGTATTCCTGACCCTATATTGTTAAAAACACTATCTGCTCCCCTCCCCTTGTAAATATAGTAAAATATTAGCTTTAAAACAGTCTGCTAGCACTGGCTCTGCCCTGATCTACCTCCTTGGTGGACATCAGAAGTGATGATCTCAGCCAACCACAATGTTTTCCCATAGGAAGCCAAACCACGCCCTGGCTAATTAACATCACCACATAAAGATCAATTTAATCAATGCAGCTCTATGAGGAAAGTTCAGCGTCTCTATGCAGAGGGTGGAGACACTGAACGTCAGTGCTGCCCCAGGAAGCACCTCTGGTAGCCATCTGAGGAATAGCCACTTGAAGTGTTCCTAGGCTGTAATGTAAAATCTGCCTTTTCTATGAAAAGACAGTGTTGACTGCAAAAAAGACTGCAGGAAATGATTAAGCTCAAATAGCTAAACTGGCATTGGGAATTTTATTCAGATTTCAATTTGTTACAATTCTGCATTTAGCCAAAACCCAGGGCCAGCAACACATAATGGATTTCACTCCGTAGATATCAAGTTGTGGCAATTTGAGCTGATATTTATTGCAAAATTACAAAGGTAAGTAGGCTATTTAAAAAATGTTTGTTTTTTTAAAAAAAAAAAGGTTTATTAAATCATAATTAATCACCATCTTACTAGAGGAGTTATGGTGCAAATACCATGTTTTCCTGCAGCCTGTGCACTATATTGTTTTTTTGCAGTAAGCACTGTCTTTTCAGAAAAAAAAAAAGCAGTGTTTACATTACAGCCTAGGGATAATTCCACTAGCCACAGCTACTAGAGGTACTTCCTGGAGCAGTGCTGCACAGTGTGCATGCAGTACTGCCATTCAGTGTCTCCACCCTCTGCATGGAGACACTGAACTTTCTTCATAGAGATGCATTGATTCAATTCTTCTCTATGAGGAGATGCTGATTGGCCAGGGCTGTGTTTGACTTGTTCTGGCTCTGTCCCTGATCTGCCTCTTTGACAGTCTTAGCCAATCCTATGGGAAAGCATTGTGATTGGCTTTTGTTCAACACTTCTGATGATGTCAGCCAAGCAGGTAGATCAGGGGCAGAGCCAGCAGCAAACGGGAATCAAAGATTTAACTATATTTAGGGGGCAAGGGAGTGCCAGATAGTTGTTTTAACACTATAGTGTCAGGAATACATGTTTGTGTTCCTAAACCTTATAGTGTTCTTTTCACCTCACACAAGGATTTGCAAGTGATCTAGAAAATCTGTATCTTCTAAGACTACAACAAGACAGTAAAAGGGATTAATGATGAAAGAAGTCAGTTTCAAGTTTACCTTCTGAACATACTCCAGAACTCTCTCAGCATCGGACGGGGTAAAGTGCTTCTCCAGGATGACGGCCAGAGCTTTCCACACAGCGTTGCCGCCGACCTCCTGATTCACCCGTTCCTTCACCATGAGGTTCAGCCTGGAACCAGGTCCAATGGAATAATAGGAGAGACTATGCTCATCTGTAGAGGATACATAGTGTAAATACAGGACAACCAGTTCACCAGGTTAACTTCTAGAAAAAGGTAATAATTCATTGAAACCGTGCATAAAGTCAGATTTACTTTACGCAATTTACACAGTTGTGTTTCTGATCAAATATTGATACCTAACTTACCTTTAGAATTGATCACAGAACATGTAACTGTGGTAACCCCCAGCAGAAGTTCTACTTATGTGTCACGAGCAAATTGCCAAACCAATCAATGTTACACCACTAGAATGCCTGATACATTTATCATAACAATTTTATTGAAATGAAGTTGTTATGGTGCCAGGAGGTCCTAGGCGAAACCTCACCTTTAGAAGTTAAGTTGTTCACTAACAATTTAACCCCAAAGTCTGTGTTCTAGATCCGACTGCTCTGCCCCACCTGTACTTCCGCTCTCTGAAAATTGAGATAATGGAAGACAGCGGCTTCGCTGATTAGTTTATATCAGTCAACTGACACTGTCAGCCAATCAGTGGGGCACATTCATAAAAAAATTATATAGAAACATAGAATGTGACGGCAGATAAGAACCATTCGGCCCATCTAGTCTGCCCAATTTTCGAAATACTTTCATTAGTCCCTAGTCTTATCTTATAGTTAGGATAGCCTTATGCCTATCCCACGCATGCTTAAACTCCTTTACTGTGTTAACCTCTACCAGTTCAGCTGGAAGGCTATTCTATGCATCCACTACCCTCTCAGTAAAGTAATACTTCCTGATATTACTTTACTGAGAGGGTAGTGGATGCATGGAATAGCCTTGATATGATATGTTCCTATTATATGAATGGTGAGCTACCGATTTATTTACAGCATTAGTTGCGCCCTTGTCCAAGCCTTTCTTTATCTAAGATTTCAAATAGTGAAAGGACAAGGGGGAAAATTGACTGGTGCTGAAACAGAGACCTTTTTCCATAAACTGTTTAACCTCTAAAAGTGAGCCAGGGCCAGGGACTTTCTGGTACTAGAACAACTCAATTTTGATTTAAATTGTTATGGTGCCCAAACTGGCCTTTTAAAGGGACCAAAATATGTCCCTATGAGCATGGCTAGTGCATCTGTCATGGATTTTATAAAAAACTTTTTCAGTGCCGCACATTCATTAGGAGATTGAGAATCATTGGGTTCTATGGAAATCTAGTTTAGTACCTGATAGGGCTTTGCCCCTGTACAGCAATCTCTGTTGTGCCGCTGGCACCTGCAGTTTCTCTTCCACCAGCCTTTTCACCGCAAGAACTGTATCACTCTCAGAGACCTAACAAAGTAATAGACAACATCGTTACAACAAGTTCTAATCATGGTTAACTGCATTGCCTGTGTCACGAGTAGACAAAACTAAGCCCAGCTGCTCCAACGTAGCTACCTAATGTGCTATAGGACTACAGCAAACTAGGGTCCTAGCACTTGCACTCAGTTAATACATTAATAGTAGTTAGCGCCTTAAAGTAGAATTAATCATCTTACACATCTACCACCATTCTCTATGTCCCTTCTTTTGTCATAATCTAATGGACACAGGGCAATCTATACTGCATTGTGGTAAACTTAGTTCTACTATCAAAGGGTTACACCAGCCCAAAACCAGTGTTTTTAAGAAACACTAATTTTGGTTAGAGCAACCCTTTCTGAGGTGGTCCGCCCAATCACCAAAAAAGGAAAGGAAATGCTAAAAGTCAACGTTTTACCCTCAGCCTGATCCTCCTTGGCCAACGCCAGGGAGGACATATTGAGGACACGGGTGGCACAGACAGGGCGGCCTGCCTCCGTGTACTGCCTGGCGTCAGACGCCAATTTTGCACAGAAGTGACATTCACTGCCGGAGTTACACCTTTGGCAGCAAAGGGGTTAGTCTCTGTATATGCAGTGTTTCAAAGATAAGTGCTTAAACGCTCTAGGCACGATGACCACATTAAATTAGTGAAGTTGTCATGGTGCTTGGAGTAACCCTTTACGTCACAAACAATTAACCAGCCGATTTAATACAGGGACCCGATGCTTTCCTACAAATGCAGTATTTAGGAAGTGACATCCCCCAATCTGTATTCTTTATACAGGTTTAACTCATCAGGCCTTTTTATTAAAGTCACCTACTGAAGTAAAGAGAGCAGAATGCAATTGTAGTGTTTTAGAGACATGGCTAGCGTCTAGTGTTGAGAAAAGAGAGGAAGACAGGCTGGTATCAAACCTAGACTAAACTGCAGGATTAGAACAGAGTGCAGAGAGGAGGTCGGGCTAGAGTCTATCTAGGACAGGACAACGAGATAAAATCAAGCACAGCTTGGACGACAGGATTAGGCATGTAGAGGAGAACAGGGTATAATCTAGCTGGAAGAGGAGGAGAGGCTACAATATAGCAGAGAGACAAAGACATGCTAGAGTTTGACAGGGATAGAAGAAAGGGGTATAATGTAGCACTGAGAGGGGGACAGGGTAGAAGCTAGTGATAGAGAATGATGTGGTATAATTTAGCAACGAGAGGAAGACAAGGTACAAACTAGCAGGAAAGTCATTACAGAATATATTTGCTTGTGTTGCACATGAACCTGTACAATTTTGGCATGATAGGGTATTTATAAAGACAACCCAGAGGATGAAAGATAAGCTGTTCGTTAACAATAACCGTCAAAAATAAAAAACAAAACTGAATTTTACGGACTGTATGCACATTATCACAAGAAGTTTATAATATACTGTTTTAGTGGAATAAGAATGGGCACAAGGTGAAATAGATGGGGAAAGATTGTGATGGAGGGTCCTTGTGAAACACCCATCAGAGGTTGGCGAACTGACCAGAGCCTGTTTGAGCCACTGTGGCCAATGTGCAACTTGCACATTACTTTGTATGTACTTGACAATTAATGTGTATCTACACCCTTTTTCTTTTGGTATATATTATGGGTAAATTAATAGGAAATAGAACCTTGTTTAATCTCACTGCCAAAAAAAAAAAAAAACACCAGAAAAAATAAAAACAGTCCCTTCTTTTCTTATGTATATAAACTGAACAAAATTATAAACGCAACACTTGTTTTTGCTTTCATTTTTCATGAGCTGAACTCAAAGATCTAAGACTTTTTCTATGTACACAAAAGGCCTATTTCTCTCAAATATTGTTCCCAAATAGGCCTTTTCTGTACACAGAAAAAAAGTCTTAGATCTTTGAGTTCAGCTCATGAAAAATGGGGGGAGAGGGGGGAAAACAAAAGCGTTGCGTTTATAATTTTGTCACAAAACTCTACATAATACCTGACAATGTATCCCCAAATATATCCTTAGAGTACCTTTAAAGCTATAAACATATACGTCACACAAAAAAATCATTAACTTTTATTATTGCTAATTATAACACACTGTCATATTGGAAACCCATAGAACATAGCTTTTCATTTTAATAGATCAGCTATACTCAGAACTGCCAGATCCACCATGTTTTCCTGGGCACACCATGTCTACATCATATTTATGGTCAGTGCATGAAGAATGCTGCCTGACAATATGTAGCACTCATACTTAGACTGGGTGCAGTGCCCCTTTTGCACGTAGTGATGCAATGTAAAACACTGCAGTTCCAGAGAAACTACAATAAATAGATTGCAGCACTAATGCTCTGTTACTGACATTGATGTTACCGCCTGTATAAGTCCTTTGGTCCAGTATCAGACACTGGACGTCCTCACGGTGTGCATGAGGACATCCAGCATCAGACTATTTCCCCATAGTGAAGCTTTGATTCAATGCTTTCCTATGGGGAGGTCAAATGAGCACACGGCATTTGCCGCGCATGAGCGCCCATTCGCCTCGGGACTTTGAAAGGGGGTGGAGCATCGGCGCTGGGATCAGGTAAGTAAAAGGGTTTTTAACCCTTTATTCACCTGGGGTGGTGGGGGTTGCCAGGGGGCAGCTAAGCAGAGGGAGTGATAGTGCCAAGAATACAGCTTTGCATTCCTGGCACTACAGTACAGTATCCATTTCAGGAGGTAAACAAACTGCCAAAACCAATTACCTTGAATATTCAATGGATTTATATTCTGCAGCATGACTACTACATACTACAGGGCAGAACTTTTTATGAACCACACAACAGGAGGTAGTGATGTAAGCGGAATAATCATGGTGAATCTGTCAACTTTAACTCCATACCTCCCATGTGTCCCTATTTAAGAGGGACTTTCCCTATTTTGAGTCAAAATCCTTCTGTCCCTCATTTCTATCCTAATGTCCCTCTTAGCAAGAATTCTCTCAGTAATGTTTGTTTCTTTAAGATACATTGTTCTTGTGCTAAATAAAATTGTAGCTGCAAAACAATGGTTATTAGTATGTCACCTAAAATGTCTCAGAATGAATCTGCTCCCCGCCACATCCCCACCTCACACCCCTAAATTGAATGTATCCCCTCTTTGTCCATTTAAACTGTTGGGTGGTATGTAATTTCACTAAAGCCAATTCCCAGGGTAAGGGAGACAGGCCTGGGAATGAGGTAGGGGGGAGACATTAAGTGTCATAATGCAACATACCTGATACATGCAACATACCAGATACATGCAACATACCTGATACCTGATACATGCAACATGCAACATACCACATGTTAGTGCTTTATAGGAATAGGCCAAGAGATGTCTTTGCTCTGAGCCCAATGATTTCTGCATAGCTTTCTGTGCACACAGGACACCATGGTATGTAGATCAGGGGTGGCCAAGATCCCCAGCTGTAGTAGAACTACAATTCCCATGATGCTTTGGGATTGTGATTTGATTACAGCCACCCACCCCAGGTTGTACCCATGGCTGGTTATTTACCCACAATGCTCTGTTACTCCCATTGATGCTGCAGCCTGTATAAAGCCCGGGTGTCAGCCCAGTACACCCAGTCAGTACAGAGCAGGCCCACCGTTACCTGGATACTGGTCTCTTTCCCCTTTAACGCCTTCACCGTCAGCTGCATCTCCGGGTCCAGCCGGGGATCACCATAGAGAGAAATCCTCCAAGGCGGAAAGAGCGTCGACTACAAACAAAAAAATCAAGGGCGAGTCCTCCGAAAATCATAGAGTCTGCCGGCAGGAGGCGACGTTCTATGCTGTGCTCTATGGTTACTGCCTGGTCTTGCCCTCACTAAACATGGCGAAATCTGGAGTTTTATTTCAGTTTTTGCAGTTAGTTAAGAGTTAGGGGTGTAATTATTAGTCAGTGAATTATGAAATCAATCCAAATTGGCTAAATGTACAGTAAAATAGCTATCATACACTTATCTGTTATTGCATCTTGTTATACTGTACTTTTTTTATTTTATTATTATTTTAATTCATATTTCCTAAATGTTTATTTTATGTTTTATTTAAACATATTTTATAACATTTCCTTTCCCCTTATTTTCTTGTAAATCTTTATGGTTATTAATGTTAACATTTTGAAAAATCTTTATAAAAAAAAAAAATAGTTGAATATAAAAAAAATAGTTGAGTTGGAAAAATATTTTATATATATAAATATATACAAAACCAAGAAGGCTGCCCTCACCTATACATGCATACAATATAGGGTGCTGCTGGGGACAAAATATACAAAATACAGAATCCAGCGCACTCGCTTATTCACTAAACAATGATTTCAAATCTTACAGATTGTAGTAGTTTTTATTTATTTTTTTTTAAAATAGCAATTTGCACCCCTCCCTGTCACAGGTGCCTCATTCCAGGGCCCTATTTAGCCTTGACTTGCAGAGTCCCAGGAAGGATGTATTTCCAAAGTAAGTGGATTACTCTCATAAGAGCAAGCATTAGGCTGCTAGGATAGGACCTGTCAACAATGGGGTACATTGATGGTGTGGTAGGCTTATGCCAGTGATGGCGAACCTTTTTGAGCCCGAGTGCCCAAACCGTAATACATGCCAATTTTTTTTCCCTAAAAGTGCCAAAACGGCAATTAAACCTGAATACTAAGGTTTAAGTTTAGAAAAAACAACTCATACAGTTGTCCGAACTAATTAACATCTCTGTGTGTGTATTAAGCAGTCTGGGTGTGTGCTTGGCAGTCTGTCTGTATTTAGCAGACTGCTGAGTACACAGTCTGCTGAATACACACACAGACTGCTAAATACACACACACATACACACACACACACACACAGAGACTGCCGAGTACACACACACATAGACTGCTGAGTACACACACACACACATACACACACACACACACACTGCTGAGTACACACACACATAGACTGCTGAGTACACACACACACACACACAGACTGCTGAGTACACACACATACTGCTGAGTGTACACACACTGCATTGAGGGGTACAGTGTATGTGTTTGTGTGTGGGGTGATTGTGTGTGTGTGTGTGTGTGGGGTGATGTGTGTGTCTTTGGGGTGATATGTGTAGGGCAGGGGTGCTGTGTGTATGTCGTCCCCCCTCTCCCCACCCCCACTGTTTTCTTTCCCCCCCATCCCTCCCTCGTTTTTTTTTCTCCCATCCCACACTCAGTTTCTCCCCCCATCTCTCCCTCAGTTTTCTCCCCCCCATCTCTCCCTCAGTTTTCTCCCCCCC